GCATTCCGTAAGTCTAATCTTGGTTTCTTTGAAGATAGCGTTCTAGGCTCCTAGCCAAGGGGTGGCTTTATCTCCGTCATTAGTCATGGCAGACAGCCAAGCCTGTGTTTGCATATTCATTAGAATCATGGGACAGAACAGAACTGGACTTTTTTTTCCCCTTGAAGACATTTCCCTTCTCACCCAAGGAGCTTCTTCAGCTCCAAAGAAACATCTTGGATGAAGGGCAAAATGTCTTCAAAGGAAAACCAGAAAGCCCAGTTGCCGCTTGAAAAAGCATCTTTGGGACACAAGGCTGAAGGATGTTGCCGAGTGCCAAAAGTTAGTCACATGGCTGTGTGTGTATGTGGGGGGGCAGGGGGTATGTGACTGTGACACCATTACAACTTTGAACCCTGGTTGTAAATAGTTCCCAGATAAGTCTTTTATAACTCTGAACGGTTGCTAAGTCATAAGTTGAGGATTGCTTGTAAACAGTTTTATGTTAAATGTTTATATCATCAAATGTTTTATCAGACTTTGGACGCATTCTGCAAATTAGCCATTTGAGGTACCTTAGTTCAAGAATGGTTGGCCAGTGGTGGGATTCAAATAATTTAACAACCAGTTCTCCGCCCTAATGACCAGCTGGGTGGCCATGGCTCAGTGGTCGTGTGGGCGTGGCCAAGTCAATGTCACTCACGTCGATGGGTGCTTCGCCTTAGCTGTTAGAATGTAATAAGGATTAACCAGAGAGGCAGTTACTATAAACAGTGCATTCTGTTAATTTAGTTGTACAATATAGTAGGATCAGTTCTACTAAAGGAAAATATTTGCAGCTCAGGGTTGAAATGAGAGGACTTGGTCCTCTCTGAACTTGGTTGCTTTCTTGCAGATGTCTCATTACCCAAACTTGATAACATCATACGTATACTACAATTAGTTCATCTACTGTAAAGGAAGGTGTTAAACTCCTCTTTTAAGAGCCGTGGTGGTGCAGTGATTAGAATGAAGTACTGCAGGGCTAACTCACTGCTCACTCCAGGAGTTTTAAATCTCACTGGGTCATGGTTGACTCAGCCTTCCATCCTTCCGAAGTCGGTAAAATGAGGACCCAGATTTTTT